TTTTTTTTTTTTAAGATTTTATCATTTATTTGAGAGAGAGAGCATGAAGGAGAGGGAGAAGCAGACTCCCCACTAAGAAAGGAGCCCGATGTGGGACTCAATCCCAGGACCCTGGGATTATGACTTGAGCCGAAGGCAGCCACTTAACCAGCTGAGCCACCCAAGCACCCGTTAGTATCCATCTTAGACATAAATTGATACAAATATAACCAATGGCCATGGGAATAAATACCCTTAAAAATGTGGTAAACAAAGATGAATAAGACATGCCCCCTGGTCTTAAGTAGTGGCCTCTGTATATTTTTACTTCTATGTTACACTGTCTAAAGGTACTATCTTTCTCACCAAAGTTTTTTTTTTTTAAGATTGTATTTATTTATTTGACAGAGAGAGAGACAGTGAGAGAGGGAACACAAGCAGGAGGAGTGGGAGAGGGAGAAGCAGGGTTCCCGCTGAGCAGGGAGCCCAATGGAGGGCTGGATCCCAGGACCCTGGGATCATGACCTGAGCTGAAGGCAGACACTTAATGACTGAGCCACCCAGGCGACCCCCACCAAAGATTATTTTACTGACCACTGTTAATCATCCCTATTTATCTTAATTTCTAGGATATAAAAAGTCAAATGTCTAAAAACCAATATTTATGTATATAATTTTTTTTAAAATTGGAAATATAAATAATGCAGTTAGAAACACCTTGAGTTAATCTTACTCAAGTCTTGGTATAAAAACAAAGCATCTTCAATGGAGATGAAAAGTATTGGTAGAGCAAGTTTAAAATTCTAAAAATATTTTCACATATTTAGTTCCTTTGTGAGAAAATGACTGTCCAAAACCACATGGAAATGAGTTTTTATGGGGGTGGTTGATACCATTTAGCAGCTATTGGCAAAATCTATTTCATGCCTAGATTTGCAACTGCTATGGCTTACTGCAGTGTATAGCCTGTGACTTATTTTCTTTTGGCCCTAATCCAAATAAAATAGAGAAAACACATAATGGTAAATCTTCAAGCAGCTGGCCAACTGCTGTATGAATATTTTCAGATTTCATCACAAATCTAGTTTATTATGGCTTTGATTAGTTTTGGTGTACAGCTGCTTTAAATGACTGAATATTCTTTTTTTTTTTTAAGATTTTATTTATTTATTTGACAGAGAAAAACACAGAGAGGGAACACAAGCAGGGGGAGTGGGAGAGGAAGAAGCAGGCTTCCCGCAAAGCAGGGAGCCCGATGTGGGGCTCGATCCCAGCACCCTGGGATCATGACCTGAGCCGAAGGCAGACGCTTAACGACTGAGCCACCCAGGCGCCCCTTCTGTAGAAAGCTTAGTATGGTCAAATACTTTGGTTCAGGCATTTATTTTGCATTATTTAATTACTGCTTCCTGCCTTTTAGGAATTACTGTCTGCAATAAATTTAAGTTAAAACACTATGAAAAAACCCCAAAAAACAAAAACTAGAAAAGACCACTCGAGGCTATGTTAACAAGTATAACAATCACTTACAAGATGAAAACAATAAAAATAAATTAAATCTATGACTTACATATGGAGAAAGGATATTAGAAGAAAACTAAATTGCTTAATTTATAAAGATAGTCTGTGACTCTGATGTTTTATTTATACAATGTAGTTATAGTGATAGTTTCCTCATCTAGAAGAATTTTTGCATGTGGGAAACTAAACTGAACAAGTAGAAAAGCAAATAGAGATGCGCAAAAAACAAGTTAGCTTTATATTTAAGTTTTAGAGCTATAAAGCCTTATCTTTTAAAATATACTGTTTATACGCTTTAAGATAGCCATCATTCTCATAAAATGGTATGGGCTAAAATTATTTTCACAAAACTTTAGTTTGAAATATTCCTTTGAATGTAGGTAGAACATGAATGTGATCATGGTATAGATCCAAGAGAAGTCTGTCTGCACCAAACCCTACTCCTTACATGTATATTTACTATTTAACTCATATTTAAAAGTGTTTTTAGGGGCACCTGGATGTCAGTTAAGCCTTCAGCTCAGGTCATGATCCTGGGTTCCTGGGATCGAGCCCTGCTTCAGGCTCCCTGCTCAGTAGGGAGTCTGCTTCTCCCGCTCCCTCTGCCCTGCGCATGCGCTCTCTCGCTCTCCCTCTCTCTCAGATAAATAAAATCTTTAAAAAAAAAAACAAAACAGTGTTTTTATCTCAGCTATCAAATAAGTGATGCTGCAATTTCCCAGAAGTGTGCAGGAACACACTTCAAAACAAAACATGCACATACATGCACACACACTCACTTAATCTTCAGTTTCAGGTAAACTAAATAATAACCATACTGGTAATTGGGTTTGAATCCCTGTTCTAACATCCACTGTGGACTGAGGACAAGTTTATGGTATCTCCTAATATCAGAATCATCAAGCAAAATTGTTCTTCAGTTTCTTTTCAAATCCACCTTTGAGATGAGATTTACTTCCCCATCAACAAGATATAATCCCTTAGCAGTATTTCTTCTGATATCCAAGATAGAGGGGAAATTTAGTCCTACTGTAAGAAATTGAAAGGCACTGGGTGATAGGGACAGGTTTTATGGTCTCAAGCATAAATCTATGTATTTAATTGGCAGGCTGTTTTATTATATTTTGAGGACTCTGCCTTCCTTTTGCCCTCTTTTCCTAAAACTTGGTCATGGTTAAGGCAAGCCTATATAACTCCTAATCACTTTTTCCTTTCTGAGATCTATACGGCAGCTACATTATAGTTTAAATCTGACCTCTCACCAAGAGTCTTACTTTATTTTGATAGTTACACAATACATAGCTGTTTTATTTACCACTTGGTAGGTATGTGCAATTGACCCTTAAGCAACAGGGATGCTGGCACCCACCCCCATGCAATCAAAAATCCTTATGTAACTTTGACTCCTCCATAACTTAACCACTAATAGCCTACTATTGACAGGAAGCCTTACCCATAACATAACAGTCAATTAACGTATATTCTGTATATGTATTATATACTGTATTTTTACAATAAAGTAAGCTAGAAAAAAGAAAATGTTATTAAGAAAAGCATAAGGAAGAGAAAATACATTTACAATACTGTACTGTATTTATAAAAAAAAATCTGCGTATAAGTGGATCCACATAGTTCAAAGCCCTGTTGTTCAGGGTCAGCTGTAATCATTTGCTGACAAAAACAGCCCTATTTTGCTCCTGTGGAGACTTTCCAGTAATTACCAGTAAGGAATTTAGAATACATCAAGATGTATATGTGTAGATGCAGGGGTTGGTTTTGTTCTTCTTTCCCATTATTTGGACCTGGACTAGATCCCTTCTAAATCATGCTTCTCTATCTCCATAATATTTACAACTGTCTCTCAATAGAACAGGCAACCTGGTGAGGTTCAAGCATAGAAAGGATGTCTACTAGGAGGAGATGTTATAGAGAAAACTTAAGTGATAGATGGTAGTTACACTTCATCTGTGGGTCTCAAACGGTAATATGGGTACCACATCTATATACAACCTTCTCACAGTAGCTTTTAATTACAAGTGTGTTTTATTTGTGATTTTTTAGCAACAAAATATAACTGTAATAATCGTACAATAATGCATTTATATTGTTATCCTTTATTACTATAAACAGTCAAGTTTATAGTATTTGCATATTAGTATTAGTATAGTATTTATCAAAATTTATCAATATTTCATTTCAATTTTCACATAATTATTTTGGTTTCTTTGCTCACTGTAGCAACAATAATTTACAATAAATTATAATTTTGCTTCTCTCTTGAGTCTTAAAATGAAATTTAAATGTTTAATAGGTTACATATTGGGCTTCCATAGTGGAATTAGGAGGCATGACCTTTGTGTGGCTTATTCACACTCAGGGACATTTTTGGGAGATATCTAAGGCAGAGTAAGATAGAGTAAGGGAGAGGAATCACCTAACCCCCAAGGACATTACAGCTTTTTTTTTTTTTTTAAATTCCAGTATAGTTAACATACAGTGTTATGTTAGTTTCAGATGTACCATATAGTGATTCAATAGCAATTCTGTACAGTGAACATTTGGATGAAAAAATAAACAAACTTAGGTGTGGTACAGTCATTGATTACAAATCAGTGGACTGCTGCTAGAAATAAGTCAATAATTAGCTGAGGTTTGGTAATAGTTTTTTATCTGAGTATTTGAGATATATTTTTTGTTTGTACAACTGAGTCATGATACCAAGCATGACTATTATAGTTTAATAATGGTGCCAATAGCAGGCATTAGGTTTAGTCATAGATTCTGATCTATAGCTTTAATAGCCATAAGGAATACTTAAATTAATGTGTCCTTTTCCAACTATCCTGGGTGATATTGGGGAACTTACTGGAAATTCACATTTTCTCTACTGTTATCATTGTTTAAATTTTAAGATTCTAAGTCATCATATCAAAAAAAAAAAAAGGCAGTAAACATGCTTAGACACAGGGGTTCCTCTTAACCTAAAACATTGCTGTATGTTGTATAAGGCAATATCTAAGGTAATATGTGAGTGGTCTTGGTGCTAATGCATTGGTGGATTTGGGGTCTGAACACACTTGTAGCAGATGTAAAAGCTGCAGAATAAGAAGCAAACCTGGCTCAGAATGACCAGATACTCAAAACAATGAGACCGTCTTAAAGCCCTTTAGTCATTTGCCAGAGAGTAAGAAGGTAGCCATCCAAAAAGTTTCCTCAGGAAGTGAATTGATTTGAAATGCCACAAATAATTAAAATTCCTCTAGTTGCTGATTACTTTTATTATGTAGGGCTCTAAAGTTGTAAGAATACTGTGATGTTTTGTTGTTTTAAATAAACACCATCCAGGTGCATATTATCTTTCAAAGAAATCTCCCTGGAAAACCTTTGAGCTAATGACAAACATATTACCATTTTTGACATATTTTTTCATGTACTTGGGAACTGCTTTACCAGCGATGAAAAAATAAATAAACCTCACTACTTAATAACTCACATTAGTTTTTGGACCAAAAATGGTGTTACTCCATTTGATGAACACCTTATTCCCCATATATGGATATTTGCGTATTTATAGTCAGGTCCATCCAAATAATAAAAAGTTGCCAACATTAATATTTTGGGCTGTCAGGTCAGATTATAGACCTGAGTCCAGTCTTAGCCACATGGATGTTAATGTGCAGCCTTCTCCAGATAATTCCAAAGAGTTGCAGAAATGCAATAGCTGATCAGTGTGTGTGTGTGTGTGTGTAGATGCATTTATATATGTGTTTGTGAAGTAATTACTTTGAAGGAAACATAGTTAATTTGGATAAATTCTGGCTTGTCTATTTAAAATGAAGTTACATTGCCTTACATTGTATGTGGAGTGTTTGTTACATTACTTTTGTTTTGAATTAACAATTTTATTGTTACTTTCAAAATAATGTAATTGCTCTTCATTTGATAGATTTCATAACTATGTTGTGAACCTAAAATTATGAGGTAAAACAATCAAATTTTCCTTTTTTCTCCCTTTTTTAGACTACAACCAAATCACAGTTAAACCCAGCATTTGAAGACGCATGGAGCAGCAGTGATGAGGAAGGATGATTCTCAATCCTGAGTACCTTTGTGTCTCTACTGATGAAACTTTTAAAATGGGACTGTTTTTTGTTGTTATTGTTTTCTTCCTAACTATGTGATGACAGCTAAATTAACCCTGAATTTGGGTGATTTTTTTCACCCATGTTTTAAAATGAGGGTAGTATTTGCATGAAATCCTGAAGCAGACCTTTATATAGTTTATTTAATCAAAAATATCTCCTTGATCCCAGTTGCTGTAGCCTGGGGCATCCCCTATTGTTACAGTACTCTCTCTATTGAGACAGATCCTGGCAACCCCTGGCCCCCGTGTGAGACCCTGAGCACATTGTGTGAACTGTAAGATGCAGTCTCAGAGGATGAGCAAGTAAATGTTATCAGCACTGACTTTCTCCTACTGGCTGTACCATCACCTTGTTCATGTTCACTTTCAGTGATGCTTTTACTGAGGACAATCATATCAAAAATGATAGTTGAAAAGTTAGCATCCAATTTTTAAATTCTTTTTTATTCATGCTTTCAGTTTTTGCAATGATTTCATTTAGCCAACCACTGTCTAGCTTTAATTAAATATTTTTGGACTCAGTCCAAAAAATGTGTATCACAGAAGGTTTTAACTTGGGGGAAATCCCATGTTTTCTTTATTTTTATGTGTCAGATGGTAGCTTGTACTCGTGCTTGAACCTCCCTTCTGTGAATCTTGTTAAGATGTGACCAAGTCCTGTTTCAGTCATTAAAGCAGAAAATGCCCTGGCAGGAAATCTGGCTCAACATGAAATGTTGTCACAAAATTTCTATTTTATTGTCTACTTTTCTTGTATAATAACCCACAAGTGATTATCATGAAGCTAATCTTACTCCCTTTCTTTCTGATTCTTACCAGCAGGAGACTAGGAAAAGAGGTTTTTGTAGCTTGAATAACAAGTGTATAGTCGTTGAGTTTTTGTGTGTGGTAGGCCTCATATCAGACCTTTCTGGGCAAATGTTTAACATATATTTACTATACTTGATTTTCTTAAGCCCTGACCATTATACTGTCGCTTCCCCCCCACTCCTCAGTGAGGATGCTTATGATCTTTGAGAATGCTACTGAAATTGGAATCTTTTTTTATTTAAAAAGAAGTCCTCCTCTAAGCTGCAAATAACTATATTGCTTCTTTCTAGTTATATAAATATACATGCTGATTCTAAATCATTCAGACAACATTAAAACTTACAAAAGAATATAATGGTCACCTGGAATCATACCACCCTAAGGTAACTACTGTTATCATTTTGGTGGCCATTCTTCCATGCATCTTTTTTTGACATAATTTTACATAACGGGATGTTTGGCTTGCTGTTGTTATCATGGAAATTCCTCTCCTCCCACATCAGCACCTCCCTCCCCATCCAATAATCCACAGTATTAACCACGTATGCAACAATCCACATTATTAACCAAGTATGTGTTGTGGACTTGCGAACCAAGAGCATCTGTTTTTCAAGCTCTACATCTGTGTGCCTGCGCTGCTGTAGCTTCCATGTGACAAGTCTTGGGATTGGTGATCTTTTTAGCCCTGCTTTAGGCAGAGAGGAAGCCGATTTTACCTGCGAAGGGGGAAGGGGAGAGAAAAGGGGGACAGCTCAGGTAGTGAATCACAGCCCCTCTTTGGGTCTGTCTGCATCTGGGAGGCTTTATTCCTACTCCTCAGGTTATGCTTGGGGGTGACTTAAACTGTTGAAAGTAAAGACCAGCTCTCAGAAAGCCTTAAAGATTTCCAACTCTCTGGAAAATAGAGGCTCTCACAGACCCTGAGCCTGTGACCTTTCATACCCAGTAGCGTATTAAGCTTTAAGTCATGAGAACAGCCCACCAGAAACTCAGTATAACTACCAAGGCCTCCTTAAGGTAGGATAGAGCCAAATCTGGGCTCTCTGGTATATTCCACCTGTAGGAGGAGGTGGCTCTCTCTGTCCTCAGTCCTTTGCCAGATGGCATGGTGCTGGAGGATGTCACCCCTCCCCTAGATCACTTGGCTGCCTGGGAAGACACTTGGGATTAACTGAATGAACAGCAAGGGAGTACCTAGACTATGCAAATGGCACTGCGAGCCACAAAACATGATGGAACTCAGTGGAATGTTGCTGCTTTCCGTCTCTTAGCCAAGATGTCCCTAATAAAGGACAGGACCCAAGAAACAACACACTTGGCCAAACTTCATGCAGTCATCTTAGTAGTCAATGCCCTGGCCAATAAGTAGCTTCATCTTTACATTAATTATAACTGTTGGGCCATTGCCTAAAAATTGTCACTTTCAGGGAGAAACAAATAAGCAAACTCTGGGACTCTCTTTCCTCACAGATACCCAAAATCTAAGTCAAAATTATACATCTCCATCTATATTAAGGTCACAATACAATGCCTTGCCTGGACACTCCATATTACTTTCAGAGTTATAGACATTACTTATAATAAGCAAGACACACATTTTACTTATCAAAGTACACAATGCTAGTCTTTTGGAAAAGGTATTCAATCGAACTTCCGTGTCCGTATTAAGTCCCAAATAGCTGGTTTAATTGATAGATATAGTGGCCTTCTCAAATAACTCCTTTTCGAGTTCCGTTCAGGTAAATGGACCCATGAAGGGTCTCTATCTTGCTCCAGGCCTTATTCTCTCTTAATTCAAGGACCTTTGGCCAGATTACACCTCACACCAACTTAGAAAACTTTTCCATTGCCCTTTCCTGTATTTAAAGGGAGAAGTGTCTTGCCGCCATGTATACAAACATTCATTATTTATGAGGCCCTTTTTATAATGTTTTTCCCTGTCTTTATAAATTGTTTATCATTCCCCTATCCCAGAAGGGCTGGAGGCCATATCAAGGGTGCATACTCTTTTGGGACCCATTATCCAGATTGTCCATAGATCAGACAGCTGTTCATCTAATATAGGACTCATTTGAGCCTAAACTTCAACCAAAAAAACCCAAAAAAACAAAAAACAAAAACAACCCTGTGAAGTATAGCCACATACCTTTCTGTTGACTGTTGGTCTTATTACCATTGTTCTGTGTGATTTCCTTAACTTACAATCTGGAGACCCAAACCCTCTAAATAAGCCATTGTTGCAAATGCTGATTCCCACGTCCCCTCAAGTGGGTACCGTTTTGGAAAGGATACCCCAGTTCCACATCCTAGATAACATTGCCCCAGTCCAAGACCTCACTGTTAGGAGGTGAGCCCATGGGTGCCTATGGGCTGGCTCTCCTAAGGCACAAATTAGACACAGGACATTTTTGCTTTTCTTCCTTTGATAGTAGGGATCCCATTATGGTTCTGAGCTTACTGTCTGCTTAGCCTATGACCCGGCTACAGTCTTTGTTCCCTGCCAAAAGGCACACTCCTACCCTCCCATGCCCATAGGGAAATCTGGTAGAGGTTACTACTATCTTCCATTCTAAATATTAATGGAGATTATTGCTTTCTCCTTAAGCACCTGCCTCATATCAGTAAAATCCTTCAACCCTCTGGGGAGAGAACCAAGTACTTCCCAAGACTTTTCGCCTCTTTTGATATCCCACCATGACCACCACAACCATTCTTTTCCTTTTGGCTACATGGTATCACTAATCTTTACATACACTCTACTAACTTACCATTTCATACCCTGCAACAAAATAACTGCTGGACCCACCACCTTGAGATATAAATAGATAGATAGAGCGATAGAGAGAGAGATACAGATACATAGATATATAGATATATCATACTTTTAACATATTATACAACTCCACCAAGATATTGTTAGAGACCCCAAGAATTTCAGATCTATTTTCTTGGCTAATGGCATCTTATGCCATACTCTCCACTAGCATTGCCTCAAATTTCCTTGATATGATGCAATTGTATTAATTATATTTTCTTATTTTCTGTGTTCTTGATACTCTGGCATTTGTGGCTTTCATCCTGACAACACTGCCCCATTCCAGGACTAATTTCCAGAGATTAGCAAATGACTCCCCTGAGAGTGAGTCTTTGATATACAAACCAATCAATCCAGAGTCCACACCCACAGCCATCTTCTTTATCAAACTCAGTTTGATCAAAACCACACCAATGCAGTGTTCCTACTGCCCTAAATCACCACAAGGCCAGGCCCCAGACAACTAGGGACCACCCCAATAGCCCAGAGACCACCAAAATTATTCAAACTATCCAATCCTAAATTTATTTAGTGTACGTACCTGCTTCATCCATTCCTTGCCACAAAACCCCAGCAAAGGCTCTGGGCCGTGCTCTGTCCTCCCTCTCTGCCTCCTGACTAGCCATGGTCCTTCTGCATGTAGCCCTGCATGGCATGGTGTGCCTGCCTCCTGGTTCTGGGGGTCTGTGGGTATAAACTTTCTTCTTCATGACAATCATTTCTCTGTCTGCGTGTCTTAGAACAAACCCCAGGTACAAAACTGAACACACTAAGTCATTCTTTTTATTAACTGCTCAATACTACATCTTGAGAATGTACCACAATTTCTTTAGCCAGTCCCCTGTTTAGGACCACATGTATAACAGCAAAGATTGTCAACGACCTGTTTTCCTTAGGTGATGTATTTGGGTGATATCTGTAGTTATTAAATATCTTCTTTTCGGGGTGCCTGGGTGGCTCAGTCGTTAAACGTCTGCCTTCGGCTCAGGTCATGATCCCAGGGTCCTGGGATCGAGCCCTGCATCAGGCTCCCTGCTCCGCAGAAAGCCTGCTTCTCCCTCTCCCACTCCCCCTGCTTGTGTTCCCTCTCTCACTGTGTCTCTCTCTGTCAAATAAATAAATAAAATCTTTAAAAAAAGAAAAATCTTCTTTTTCTCTGGAAGAAGAAATGATCATCTTGCTGGGTGTAGGATTCTTGGGTTGCAGGCCTTTTCTTTCCTAAGAAAGAACTTTTATGTAACTATTATGTCCACTTTCTTCTGGATTCTGTTCTTGCAAATGAGAACTCCAAAACCACTTTGATTTTTTTTCCCCTTTCTTGGGAACTCATTCTTTATAGCTGGAAGCTTGTCATCTGTGAGATTTTCTTCCTCCTATCCTTAGAGTTCCATAATTTTAGCAAGATATCTGATAAATCAATCTTCCCCCACCTTCTCCATCACTTCCTGGACCTTTAATGAGCTTTTTCAATCTGAAGCTTCAAGTCTTTTTTCAGCTTGGGGGATATTTTCTTTTAGTATTTGTTTGGCTTCTCCTCTTTTTTTTTTTTTTCCTTCTCTATATTACCAAATAATTGCATGTAATGTCTACTTTGATCTCTCCTTCATAGTCTTATCTTTTCCTTCCTGCTTGCCTTTAAAAAAAATCCTAGAACAGTAGCTAGCGCAGAGTAGATGCTCAGTAAATACTTACTTTGTTATTTCTATTGTATACTTGAAGATTTTGCACTTGATCTTTGAAGTCACTAATTCAGGCCTGACTATAATCATCAAAAGAGGCTTTTTAATTATTGTTTTATTCTCTTCTCCACCTTAAATCTTTGTTTTGTTCTGTTTTTAAACATTTGCAGATTATATTAGAAAACTATGAAAGCTCCATGGAGGCTTCCACTTGAAACTTTTGTTTCATTTAATTGATGTTTGTCCAGCCTCATTGACAGTATATATCAATGAACCTATTACAATGGTAGCTAGACTTCTCTCTGAGGCCTTTTACATTTTACAAATTGTTCCTCCACCCTGTCCTGGCTAATACTATGTGTCTTTTGGTCCTTTAAGGTGCTGTACCGCACCATGGATCAAAGAGCACT